GGACGTCCATGTTTATTCATTACCTTCACATGAAACCCTAAGTGGTTGGAAATAAAAAATGAATTACACAAAAATAAAAAACCTTTAGACAGGCATAACATTGTTTCTAGAATTTTTCACTCAAAACTAAGGAAACTTATAGATGTTCTCACTAAAAAAGCAACATACGGAGAAGTTTATGCTTGGATCAACAGTGTCGAATGGCAAAAACGAGTCCTACTTCACATGCACACATTTTTATTTCTAAAAACAAAAATTAAGTCAGATTAAATAGACAATATAATTAAAGCTTAATTACCAAATTCTTAACAAGATCTCTTGCTGTTTAATATTATTTCAAAAAGTATGATTCAGGGACCTTGCGGGGAACTTAACATGACTTCACCATGTATGAATAACAGAAGATATACAAAACAGTATCCTCGGAATTTCGTAAAAGAAACTCAAACTGCAAACGACGGCTATCCTACCTATCGAAGAAGATCTCCTGCAGATGGAGATCACAGTTCCATAGTTACAATTTGTGGTAAAGATGTACCAATTGATAACCGTTGAGTTGTTCCGTACTCACCAATCTTATCTCGATGTTTCAATGCTTACGTTATTGTGGAATTTTGTCATTCAGTGCAAGCAATTGAATATATTTGCAAATACATCAACAAAGGAACAGATCGTGCTACTTTTTTAATTGGAACTATTGACGAAATTGTAAACTATGCCGATGGACGCTACATTTTTTCCTTTGAGAGGTTTTGGCGTTTTTTTGATTTTGAGATTCACGCATGGTATCCTGCAGTCTTACATTTAGATGCCCATCTTGAAAATTATCAAACAATTAACATCAATCAGTAAAACATTTGAAAAATTCTTGAAAATCCGAAAAAACAACGTTGATTGCGTTTTTTTAACTGTCCGAAATGGATGATTTTACTAAAACTCTTTTGTATTCCGAAGTTGCCACCTGTTACCGATGTGGATATTTACGTAAAAATGGATATTTATATCACATTAATCATGACATGTTTTTTCAACTATTTCTAAGGCTTTTTTTAGAAATAACTCAATCTACTTCTTTCAAATTTTATTTTCCGATTCAAATCACGAGAACAAACTTTTTACATTGTTTAAGTCTAATAATAAACAAAATATCATACGACTGGTCATTCCTTTCAGAAGTAATATTGATGCTATATCAGTTCATGCCATAGATAAAATTATTTTTCACGAGAAAAGAAACAATAAATTAACGTTTTATATAGTATATATAGTACGTTTTTCCTAAGCCTCCTGGGCCATGAATAAAAAAAATTTCATCTGTTCGTTCATATGTAATTTTGAAAACCATAGTTTATGATCAGAGAGGTTCATTACAGCCAGAGAGTATAACTATCGTATTTTTATTTTCATTTTTATTACTCTTTGAGTATTCTCATCTGTATTTAATATTAGGCCTAATCAGAATCCTATTTTAGGTAGTTAAAGTGAAGTATAAAGCACCTATTAGACCTTGCTTTCCGGAAACACTACATTATTATTAAAATGATTTAAAATGTTTCTTAAATTTTATCTTCTAGAATATTTTCTGCGATTAGAAACAAGGCCAAAAAATTTTATAAAAATTTATAAAAAGGTTTTTAATAAATTTACTCAACTTTCGTTTTGACTCTTCAAGTACTTTATAAAAATTGTTTTATGTTCTTAATGCTCCAAAAAGTATCCGAAAAAAATGAAGTATTTAACTGATTCAGAAATTAGGGGCTTAGGCGAGGAGTGCACAAAGGGTTACTAGTACAGATATACATGTACATGTAATTTCCTGTCAACAAGATTATTAGAATTATTTGTCAGAGATTTAGGTGTCACATGACAAACTTGACCTTACATTTCTTAATTCTAAGTACCTTTTTTTAATTACTCATGAGATTGGTACTAAATAATGTCATAACAGATAGATTATTGTTATATCAAATATAGTACCTTAACCTTTCATCGTTTAGATGGTTGCTGTAATTTCTTATCTAACATCATTTAAGCAGATAAAAATATTTTTCCAAGTTTACAATAATTTAATTCTTATGTTTAAGAAAAATTTGCCAAAATTTCGCACAAAAAGATTCGCTACGGTAATATTCTTGAAAACTGTTATTTTGGTTAAGTAACAACAACTTGAGTGAATCAGATAAAGTTTAAAATAATTTAACAATAGGTTGACTTGTCATAGAAAATAGTTTAACAATATAGTGCTAAGGACTCCGAGCGTCATTGATTAAAATTAATTTCTAATCACAATAATGAAACATAATTTCTTGAAATGTTAATAACAGTTGACGGAATATTTCACAGTACAAAAATTTTTAGGCTTATGTGTAAAGGAAGTGCTGTTCCAAGCACTCTTAGCCCATCCATGTCCTTTTATACTGGTAAATAATTTTTCAACTGTATTTTGAAAAGTCGAAAGATAAAAGTATAACGAAATTAAAACTATTTGATCCACATCTGGAAAAAGATTTTTTTCATTCTTACAAAAAGTTGGAAATTTTATCAAATTTATACCTTTCAGTTTTTCAAGATTCAATTAAAAAATTACTTACCATCATAAAAGGACATAGATGGAATAAGAGTGCTTGACACAGCACCTTTATCTATATATGAGCCCATACATTTTATAATACATACGTATCACAAATATTGCTTGTTATACCAGTGATAAAGTCACATAAAAACGCTTAATATCTAAATTTATTTACAAGCGGAAAAATAATTTTCCAATCACACCTTATTAAAATTAATTTTGTTGATTCTCAATACAGCGTCATACAATTTGAAGTATTTGTTAATCAAACCTACTACTATTGCTTTTTAACATAAATATTCTGATAACAAAATAGTTGAAAAAATTGCTTGAGGAGGAGCTCTTGCCTTACAAATTAATCAAATGAATATCATTGTACATTATACTTGTTTTTATTTNATTCATAACATCTCTTCAAGTGAATAGAAAATGGATTGATTTTAATATCGACAGTGGAGCGGCAGTCACGCTGATGTATGCAGGAGACGTGAAAAAATTTTTCCCGGAAATTCAAATATACAATACAAGTTTATGACTGGCTGAGTTCGATGGAACACCTATTAAAGTTCTGGGATACTCTAGTGTCACAGTCACGTATGAAGGAATTAATTTTAAATTTAATTTATATTTAACAAACATTAAGCAAGTGCCGCTATAAGGGAAAGAATGGATTCACAGATTGATCGAAGTAAAAGGGGCAAATAATTTATTTTGCCCGGTTTTTCAGTTAGAAATTCAAAACTTTTACGAAAAATTATATTTAAATAAAATTCACAAAAAGTACAGTAACGTTTTTAAAGACGATTTGTCACAAATTAAAAAACTTAAAGCTTCGTTCAATCTAAAACTTGATGCGCGTCCCGTTTTTCTGAAGCCCCGACCCATACCTTTTAAAATAATACCCTTGGTGGAAAAAGAATTAGAGTACTTACAAAGGAAGGGGGTTTGAGAAGAGGTGGACACCTCAGAGTATGCAACTCCAACCGTACCTATTTGAAAGAAAAATAATACTGTAAGAATTTTTGGTGATTACAGCGTAACTGTAAACCCACATTTAATTGTAAATGAGCACCCTTTGCCAAATATTGATGAACTATTTTGCGAATTAGCAAATTGCAACCTTTTTGGAAAACTCGATTTAAAACAGGCCTATTTACAATTACCAGTATCAGCAGAGAGTGCTCAGATTCAAACTATTACAACTCATAAAGGTCTATTTAAATGTAATAGGCTCATGTACGGGATAGCTTCAGCACCGGCTATTTGGCAAAGTACCATGGAAAATATCTTATGTTTTCCAGGCGTAAAGGTTTTTCTCGATGCTATTCGGATTGTGGGAAAAGATTTACAGGATTATATAAATAAATTAGAAGTAGTTTTAGAAATTTTAAACAAGTAAAATATCAAAGTAAATGAAAGAATGTGTGAATTTTTTAGATCTCAAATTAGTTCTTGCGGGTATATAATAGACGCAAATGGAATACATAAAAATTCAACAAAATTTGACGCCGTTACGCACATGCCACGTCCAAATAATATTAGCGAAGTTCAAGCTTTCATTGGCATAGTAAATTACTATCATCGCTTTATTAAAAATATTACTGCGATTTTAGATCCGTTGTGTGAAATCTTAAGGAATAATGATGTTTTCTATTGGACAGAAAGGCAGAAAGCAGCTTTTAAAAATGCAAAAAAATCTTTCATAAGCGACACATGCCTAGTTTTTTTCGATCCAAAAAAGCCTCTTGTTTTTGTTACTGACGCTAGTGCGTACGGCGTAGGCGCCGTGCTATCTCATCGTTATGAGGATGGTACTGAATGAGCTATTCAGTTTGCTTCACAAATACTAAACTCTACCCAACGTCAGTACAGTCAGATCGATAAGGAGGCGTATGCCATGGTTTTCACGGTTAAGAAATTTTATCAATATCTATATGGAAACAAATTAATACTGATTACCGACCGTCGCCCACTAACTCAGATTTTTGCACAGAATAAACAGTTACCAATTTATAATGCAATGAGGATGCAACATTATGCAATTTTTCTGCGCGGTTTCAATTACGATATTGAGTTTAGACGATTGGAGAAGCATGGCAACGCTGACTGTTTATCTAGACTACCCTTACATGATAGCGCCTCAAACAGTGATGTAATTGATATCTTTTATGTTGATACAATTTGTACCCTACCCATTACCGCAAAAAATGTTGAAGAGACTCAAAAACGTGATCACGTTATAAACAAGATCATCATAGCTTTACAAAGCGAGAAAACCCTAAATGTTAAAGTAACGTGGAACATTGATTTCCAGGAATTTTCTTTAGAACAGAGTATTTTAGTCCATGCCCACAGGATTGTAATGCCACAAATACTAACGGCCGGCGTATTACACTAACTGCACATTGGACATTTCGGAATATCAAAAATGAAAGGTTTAGCTCGGGGGCATTGCTGGTGGCCAAATATTAGCCACGACATTGAAAATTTAGTTAAAAGTTGTGAATTGTGCCAAAGTGTCAGAAATAATCCAAACGTAACCGAAAAACATGTTTGGGTAACTCCAGCAAAGCCTTTTGAGCGTGTTCATGTGAATTTCGCTGGACCTTTCTTAAATAAGTTTTTTTTTAATTTTAATCGACGCGTTTTCTAAGTGGCCTGAGGTCTACATTGTTAAAAATATGTTAGCAGATACAACGATAAATATTTGTAAGGAGGTTTTTGCAAGATTCGGAAATCCCTCAGTACTTGTATTTGATAATGGTCGAACCTTTACTTCCAACGATTTTAAAAATTTTTTGAAGGAAAACGGCATCACTCATAAATGTACAGCGCCTTACCACCCTGCCACCAACGGTCAAGCTGAAAAATTCGTACAAACTATAAAACTAGCGCTAAAAAAATGTAAGAGTACACAAAATTTACAAGCAGATTTACAAAAAATCCTAGCTCAATACCGAACGATGCCTCACACAGGCACAGGCGTGACGCCGGCAGAACTACTTTTCGGTAGGCAAATTAGGTGTAAACTCGACTTATTAAAACTGCCTGAAAATCATAAGTACCAAGATGTAAACGTGGATAAAAAGTGCAAAAAGTTTGAAATTGGAGAAAGAGTAAGTGCGAGAAATTATTTAGGTACTGCTAAATGGTGTTTCGGAAAGGTGCAAAACCAGACGGGGAAATTACGTTATAGTATTTTGCTAGACGATGGTAGAGTCTAGCGGTGACATGTCGATCAGCTGCGAGCGAATAGAGCTATGAATAAAAACGAAAGTATAGATTATTATGTTCCGCAAGAGAAACAAATAAATGTCAAAGATTTCGATTCTATCGTCGAGAACGAATTCGGCACAATAAATAGCAGGGCCAAAATAAATCCACAACAAAGAGTTCCTGATGCTCCAACAAGACCTGCGCGAGACAGAAGGCCCCCGGTATATTGAAAAGATTATATTTATAAGATTAATCAATCGTAAGATGTTTATGAGTTGTTTTTTTTTTTTTTTTTTTTTTTTCGCGAGGGGGAAGTGTTGTGTGCGTGATGTATTATGGCGCGCGATTCTAATAAAGCGAACCAACCAAATATGTAGCGTCGCTACAAGGAAAGAGAAAGAAAGGGTGGGGAGATTTTTCCACGGCTCTGGGAGCGCGACGTTTTCGGAGTCGTCGTTGTATGCGATAAGCAGCAAACTAGAATACACGTGTGTTTATATATATCAATAAGTCGGCCTTACGTATTTCAACCTTCTCGTTCCTATCTTTCCTACTAGCTATATTCCCAGTACACATACATAAAAATTAGTTGTAAGCAATTTGTTTTTTTTAAAACCTAAGTGTACTTCAACTTTTGAAATAGACTTTTACAGCAATAAATGAAAAGGGTAATTTTTCCAGTGTTTTTCATCTAAAATAAAATTTTAATAGTCCCGAGTTTTAGCATGTGTACGATTAGGGGTTATTTTTCCAGCTCACTTTGTCCATTGGCCATTTTTTAATGAAAAAATTTTTCAGATAACTATTTTTTTGAATAATTAAATATCAACGATAACCTTCTTTTGTTATTGTAGCGACCATTACTTAACTGTTTTCATGAAGCTATCCTTTAAACGGTGTGAAATGGGTGCCGAAATCATGGGAAACAATTATCAATGAAACTCTTTACTACTATTCTAAGCATGCTGGTGCATGTTGGCAGAGAAAATGCGTACGATTACGCATAAATGAATGTAAAGCTTGCGCAGTCATAAGTTATCTAATAATTCATGAGCAACTAGTCGTTTTTAAAGATGTTGCTGAGTCTCCAAATAAGTATCTGCCTAATATTAACAAGTGTGGAGCAGAAAAAATTAAATTAACGTTTAAGACGAACGCAAAAAGCCAATCTGAATGACCTCCTTCTCAGCTACTTTAAAAAAAATTAAGAGGCCTTTTTAAAGGTCTCTTGATTAATCATGAGATTTTGGTATGTGCTTACTACTTAATTATACGTATCATAGGCGTTCTCTGTGAACTTCTGTTGAGAAAAAATCTGTTGAAGGCTGTAAGAAGAGAATGCAGAAGAAAGCTGCCCACAAAACCTAACGTGTTTTAACAATGTCGATGCCATATCCTAACCATTTTAACCTACCCTCACTGAAGAAAAATTCCTAATTTTTGGCTCAGGATTACCCAGACAAGAGAAAGACAAAGGAAAATTAATAGTTTTCAGCACTCTGTAAGAAAATCAAAATCTAACGCTTCTGTTATTCTGCCAAAAGCATAATTTAATAACTAGTGAACAAAAATATATATGTTGTTTGCAGGTTGAGTCTGCACTCCAAAAGAAATTGATAGAGGTTCAAAAAAAGCTCCGTTGCAGAGGTATAACAAACGAAGACCATTTGAAAGATGAAACCAAAATCGAATACTTGTCCCCTTGATAAATGTTTAACCGAGACATCACAGATTTTCAGAATTGTCAAAAATTTGAGTCCAATTCTACATCTATACTTTAAAGTAATACCGAAAAAGAGTAAGACCGGAAAAAATCGTCAAATACACACATATATATATATATATATAACAACTGGGACATTTGAATGGCCAACATTCAAAGCAATCTTCGAAATTCGTTTTGGGCTTAAATTGTTCGTATTATCATAGGCATCCGAAAGTTATCTGGTATACTTTTAAGAAATACTGTCAGATACTAATTATAATTCTTAGCAAGAATTGTCTCTTGTGAATTTCTATTTAATTTTGCCGTTTTCGAGAAAAAAAATTTGAATACTTAAAAATACGTTCAGCTTGATAAAAACGCATGTTTTGGTCCTATACAGAAAGAGATAGCCTTACTGGAGAAGTTTCTCAAGTACATTGGTGTTTCAGGTCGCTGACCATGAATCCAAGATCAGGTGTTCATAACTTAAAAATGGTGTATCCAACATGGTGGCAAAATTTCGAAAAATTAACGGATTGTATTTTAAAAAAATTCTATCGTACACTACTTATAATTCTGGGCACTAAATGATTCGTGCGAATTTTTGTTCAAATTTTCCGTTTTTGAGAAGAAAAATTGTGAATATTCAAAAATTTGTTCAACTTAATACAAACGGATGTTTTGGTCCTATACAAAAAGAGATAGCCCAACTGGAGAAGTTTGCAAAATACGTTGGTGTTAAAGGTCGCCGACTACGAATCCAAGGTCAGGTGTACAGAAATTTAAAATGGTTAATCCTAAATGGCGTTAAAAAGGATAGGAAACTCCTAATAATTAACTTAGGTTATCAGTTAACAGTCATGTTTATTATTCAATGCTTGATAAATTTCAACATCATTTAATACAATATAACAATGTAACTCAAAGTTTCTGTGACTTTATGGTAAAAAAGTGCTATTTGAGCTTTCTTATCCAAAATCTTATTCAAAACGATATATTGTTTTAACGACTTATAATACTGCAAAATCCTTATTGGATCCTGAGCTGTTTAAAATCTCATGATTTTTAATTTTTTATAAGAAATCACAATAATTGGATGAGCTGTAGATATGCCTGATACAGCAGGAGCTTTAGAAAATCTTCTAGTCAGATGTTTTAGCGTCTTTTTACGATGCTGTGGGCTATAGTAAAAAAAACTGTATGTTCTTAAACTTTTCTGTTGCCCAATCGAGTAGGCCTTTTGGTGTCAACATTGCTTTAGCCCAATCAGCTTGGAGATTAGCACAGGATGCTTCTCGTTTAAAGTCAGCTCCTACGCCATCACACGCGCCCTTACCGTGTGCAGTAGCGTAACAATGCCATTCAGCTATTACATTAAAATCCTTCTCATGGCTGATGAGGGTGGACATTTGATACTTATTTTTGTAGTGTTACTTAGCCCTGTTGCTGACATATATTACTTTATTGACTTGTGGGCAAAATTCTTTAATTTCTGGAATTACCAGTTGCTGCATTATGTACACTGCAATAGTGTCATGTGTTGAGCAGTCAGATAATAAAATAAAACTTGTATGCTGTACCACTCCTTTTCCTTTATAATTTACAACCGTGGGATGTATAGTGCATTGTGCATTATTGTTATGAAATCCCTGTGATGCATCTTGGGCAACATACGCATAATTTTCTGAAAAGTCCGTATGTACTAAGACTGTCTCCTCTTTCAAATTATTTTTTAAGTCTGATATAAATTGAGACTGCGCTTTGGAAATAAAATGATGGGGTGAAAGAGTTTTTAGTCTTGTAGATAAATCATCAACGAAATCATCGACTGGAAGATTTTTTTTCTTAAAAGCACAACGGTCAGTTGTTTGCCAAGTTGAGACAATAACCTCGAAGATGCCATTTTCCCTCAAAATATCATAAATGAAATCCGAAAACTTTTGAATATCTGGGCAGTTTTTACAATCGCCCAAATAACAAGATGCTGATGGATTGTCATACAGAACAATCTTGAACGAGTCTGTAAAAGATGTTATTTTATTCTTATGATTCAGAGTTAATTTAGGTAAATTTGAAGCATCGATCATTGACTTAAAGTTTTGGTGTAGTACACAAATACATACACTATGTGTAGCGCTGGCACCAGCCAATACACACCATTTCAGTCGGAGATCTGCAAATTTACTTAAGCCAATGGGAAATGTACGATTTTGTTCTTTGAATTGACTATAAAGGACCTTTATATCACATAAAAATAATCTTTTCTGTATTTTAATCTTAGCATTATTAATTGTTATAGAAACAGTCTTTTTTATTAGACATTGTTCGACTCTTCAAATCATTTTCATAAAACTCTACAACTCTTTTTACAGTAGTATCAGGTAAGAATTTTCTAGTTTTCATCTGAGATAATGCTAGCAAACTATTAAATTTTCTCGGTTCTTGTGCTTCAACAACACTTCTCCGAAAGGTAAAAAACTCTTCCGCTGTGTCACGTATACTCCAGCAACTTGGTGCTATAGTCTAAATTGTTATTTGCAGAGGATCGTTTGCAGATAAACTTAAAAACTTGTCTTTAAGATTTTGTAACATATTTTCTAGAGAAGCCTCTCTTAATATACGTATTTTTTTTTTTTTCTTTTGTGAAAGGGTCTCGTCATCTGAATCTTCCGATACTAAACATGAAGAATCGGGAACTGGATCAGCTGAACTAACTAGCTCATCAGTCTCATTCACTGAATGTTAACTTACCGAGAATAACTGTCTACAGTTTTTACATACTCTAGCTGTGGGAGGGATACTTGGGAATGCTACTTGCACACTTTTAGAAATACATTTTAACTCTTTGCCTACGTGACCTGGGTTATTATAAGGATTAACACATCTATCAGTATACATATTTTTCTGAAACGTAGACATACTGATAGCAATATATTATATTTTATGAGCACGACAGTAATAAAAATAGATAAAATATTATCAATTTGACAAGCAGCTCTTGAAAACAGCACGAAAAAATTTCTACTAGATTTTCACAAAGCTGGAACAAAAGATATTGTCTGATTAATATATAAAATAACGAATTACTGTATTTTGCTCTTAAGCTACTTCAAATTCCAATTTACCCATCAATAAATAAATTTAAGGTTATTCCTTCAAATTCATTATTATCTTAATTATGAACGAAACACATTTTTTTTGACGTATTCTCTAATTAAATTAATTTTTGTATTCTGCAGTGTATAACTATTTTTATACGATAGATATTGCATGTATCGTATGTGCAGTTTTAATCTAATCGGTCAGCGCAAGATTTTGAGTTACACGATTATACCTATCAGCATTGTGTCAGTTTAGGTATGTGGTTGTTTGAAAAAAAAAATTTTATTAAACATTAAAAAGAGTAATAAATGTAAAAAAAAACTTCTGGTTCCGGTAATCCATTTAAAGTAGAAATGTTCTCTTGATACTTTTTGTAAAATGCCTGGTATTACAACAGACTTACCAGACTTATCAGATCCAAGTCTTATGAGTCTATCAGACCCCCGGTATTTTAAAAATCCATGGGACGCACGCGTCCGCACGCTTTTATATGGGAGCAGCCTACTAAAGGAGACTTAGCAAGGTTGTTAAACATATCTTAGTGGATTTAATTGGATCGTCTTAAACGTCTTATCTTGCCAAGATATGATTGCCCTATAGCCTGAGATGTTAAATGACCTGACCTTTTCATCTGACCCTAAAATTCAACCGACCTTTACGATTAGATATTTGTTTTCGTTGATAAATCGAACCTCTGTACCAGGTATGATATAGAGGCTGGATTCTTGAACAAAAAAATACTTCTGACCGTAAAGATAGGTTAAATATCACGATCAGATGCAAAGGTCAGGTCATTAAGAAGAGATTACAATATTTTCTAAGGGAATAATAATGAGGACTTTATCTTTATCGTATATTTATCCCAGCTATGGGTATATGATAAAGATAAGGGTAAGTTTGTAACTGAAATCATAGATTTGTCACTACTTCAAATGTAAACCTCGTTGAAAAATCTAACATAAAATAATACAAGGGAAATCTTTGTCGACTCCCTGTATTTTCCACTTGGAATCTGAATAACACATTCACAGGGTCGATATTATGGTACCTATACATACACTACAATATAAAAATTTGTCATATTCTATTACATGATGCTAAAATTTATCACGTACGACCATTGAGTAAAAAACTGGCGGTTTACTGATAACCTAATTTAAACATTAGGAGTTTCCTATCCTTTTCAACGCCATTTAGGATCCACCTATTTAAATTGGTATACATCTGCTATCTTTTTCTGTAAAGGACCAAAACATGCGTTTTTATCAAGTTGGATATATTTGTGAATATTCATAATTTTTTTTCTCGAAAATGGCTAAATTAAATAGNTTACAATGATACAAAAACTAAGAACTTTATTTTTTTCAGGTTACTAAATCTCTTCGAGGAACAATTAATGATATTCAGCAAAAAATTGGAAGACGTTTGTATGAAGCTTGTCTTTCTGGACGTATGCCAGAAAACAATGATTTATGCCATAAAGATGATCTTACCAAAATTAAAAGGTAAAAAATTGATATTAAAAAATTTTATACAATTATAAAATAATTGTTGTTTTAATAATTATAATGTAATTTTTGAACGAAATTTCTCAATTTATTTTATTTTAATCATATTACAGTGTTAGATTTTACTTAGTATTTATATTTCATCTAATAAATCTTAAAGCTGAGTTTTACAGTAAAAAAACTTTATGTTGGTCAAAAAGGAACTTGTCATAAAAATGTAATAATTGATTATGCCAAAGTTCATTATATGACAAAAGGTTATGTTGTTCTAATAGAATAAAGTGTTTTTATTTATGATCTTTATTTTAGCATTGTAGTCGAAACAATTGACCGAGAACTTGTAGCAATTACACTTTGTATTTTATTTAAATACGTAGATCAGGCATCTTTAACGAGCTCATTATATATTTCCTACGGTGATATTAGAGAAAAAGTATCTTGATATAGCTTACTAGTACTCCTTGTGCTGCTGGATGATGGCGAAGCTTTTACTGTAACTATGTTGTATTGTTTATTTTAACTCTTGGGCGACGAGTAAGCAACTTAAACTTCTATGTTTTAACATTTTATATTTGAGATGTTTATATTGTGCACTATTCACTACACTCTGCACCGTTCATAATAAAAATAATTATGTATCTCAATTTGATACAAGTTCTCTTATGAGTAAGAAATGGTTTGAGCTTATGGGGATAGTATGTATCAAGTCATTTTTGATGCAGACAAATGACTGAAAGAAAAAAAAATAATACAACATTATTGATCAAATGAAGGTTTCAAATCTCAAATACGTATTGTAAAATATGTTTGTAGAGGTCTGTAAATAAAATGTGTCAACAACACCTTCTTTACGTTAGGTGTTGTATGAACAAAAATATTTTCTAGAGTAATCAAAAAAATAAGCCACTAGTCTGCACTTGATGTGGATTAATTAAATTAAATAGAATTCAGCAAAAAGCTAATACATAAATTTAAAATATTATATTCCTCATAATTTATAAGCGTCAAGTCGTCTTGTTGATCCTTTGAAAAGTTTGTTATTAAACAAATTAGTATTATAAGAAGCATTGTAGAGACCATTGAAAATATACTGTTAAGAGTTCATCGCTTAATTCACCTGAATTATTATAAAAGATAGTCATATTTATTATTCAGAATATAGTTACACATACACACACACACACTGAACAAGGTTCTTTAAAATTAAAATGGAGGCTAGGGAATAAAAGGGGATACGTGGAGTGACCCTCAAAAATTACCATATAATAAAGGGTATTATATTCGTATGTAATACAGTTTCTTGTGTCCTCCAATCACAACCCACTGTTCCTATACCAAGCATTCAGAAGTAGAACAAAATTTAGTTATTTCTTCCGATATTTGGACAAAAAATATTTTTTTACGTGCTCCTAACAGCCCTAGTAGACGCTTTACAAACGTCCACGTGATTTATCTAGACTTTACATCACCTTCTGACTTCTTGCCATTACTCGTAGACCCCTTAAAAAGTTGAATTCACACACACACACACACGCGCGCGCCCGCGCGTGTACGTTACACGTACAGATAAAGTTTAACTTTTATATTCCATACTTAAATTGTCATCATTAATAAATTTGTATGGATTTCACTTTATATCGTTTTTAGGTGTCAGGTTCTTGATATACTTAATTTTTTTTTGTTAATATAATTGTTAAACTAAGTTTATCATTTGAATTCGTAACATGCATTTATTTAACATAATACTTATATACTTACAAGATTTAATCAAACTTAGTCATAGAATAATAGAGACCGTATAAGTACTGATCTACTGAGGCTGCTTAATTTTATGAGTCGTCTGATAGAGCCCAATTAATCACGATGAAATAAAACCTTTTAATCTCGTCTTTAAATTAGATTAACAATTATGAGTTGACGTGAGAATGTGTATTATAAATTGAGTAATTCTTTTATAACATCGCCTTTGCATTTTAACGAGCCTACCTATATGTCATTCAACTCTTTGATTTTCACACATTGTTGAGTATTTCTTCAAGTACTTTTTTTACAAATACTTCAACAAATGTATATTGTGATAGTGAAAATGACATGAAAATCATGAGAAAATATTATAACTCAAACTTTTTTATAACTGTAAAAAAATTTACTTTTATTGGTAAAGTATGAGGTATTATTGAAGTTTTAAGATTAACAATAACAAATTTATTAAAACAAACACAAAACAACTGATTTCACTATCTTATTCACAAACAAAAGTTCTTTATTACTTATGAGTCTATATTTTATCTCCCATTTTTAAGACCTCTTAGAAATAGGAGAATAAAGTGTACACTAATAAATAATGAAAAGGTGTCAAAAATATTAGACAAAGATTAGACTACTTTTTTATGAGTTTATTTCCTCTAAAAAAGAAGCAAGTAAAGTTGATGGGAGAACATAGTCCAACATTTTATCTTCAATAGTTGTCTTTATTTAATAGAACAATTACTATTGCAATTACTTGTACAATTTTTATTTTGAAAGCAAATTGTGTCATTGTGAGGAAAAAATACATTATGTTTTTTATTACTATTGAATAGTTGAAAATCTATTAACACTACTAGTTTTATCAAGATATAATATCTCTTAATTATTTATCATTTATTTTTTCTCTACAATAAGTGATAAAAAAAAATTTTCTTAAACAATATTTTTAACATGTTATTTCTTTCTATTAAAACAAAAATTTCATCTATAATGTCACCTCTTAATATAGCTATATACACTTAACTGTAAGAAAGATGAAGACAATTGATCGTATCGTACAACCATTGCATCGTTAACTGTAATTTTTCTTTTACTATTTTTATTTTGGTGTAAATTACTGTCCAAAATATTGTTTATACGCTTGTACTTAGAATACTCATCTTTTATAAGCAAATGACATACGTTTACTTACCAAATTTAACTGACGAAGTAAAACTATTTGAAGCTCTCACAAAATTATTATTTTTTTATTTTCTACATTATGAATGTGTACTATACCTTACATCCCAAGGTATTACATATACATAATTTAACATTTTTTTGTTTCTCGTTGTTTGAAGGTGCTTCTGCCAATATAAATTCATTTATGTCATTAATGTTAACAATTTTATTATGAGGACGTCAAGTTATTAAAATCCAAGTAAGTTTTGAATCTCGTTTATTGAATTCAATTCTTTAAATATATCTTGACATTTTTCTAAATGAATGTAAATATAACGTTACAAAAAAGGTCTATTTTGTGTAATAAAAAATTTTGATATACATAACTTGTTTTTATTTATAAAGCTTGTATATTAATAATATGACGAAAAAAATTATTTATCTAGAATAGCATTTTAACTGAATATTTTTTCACTTCATACAAAAAAGAAAAATGCTATACTAAGTGGAAGAAATTCAAAGTAATGAGAGAATAAGAGTTAGTGAAGAGCAACAGTCCTAGCAAGGTGTTGATAGTGACAAGTAGGCTTGTGTCCTATACATCGCTGTTCTTCTATGGCTGTGCCAAAACCAAGTGAATAAAATTATTACAAATAACACTAGCTCTGTCTACTTTCATAAGAGCTAAATTTCTTTTCTATCACTCTGAACTAGTAAAATCTAATAAATAACTAACTTGAACTTAATTTTAAAGTACTCGTATCTTGTGTTTCCTTTAAGACATTATATGTATGCAGTTATGATAAAGGCAAAGAAACAGGGTTCTACATCATCGCTGGTAAAATCATTGTTACAAATACAAGATAAATAACACGTATTATGGATATGTGAAAACCTTGACCAAAGATGTTCGCGTGGAATCACTAACATTGTTGGGACCAAAAACGTTTCTACCTCACTCTGGCTTTCTTCTAAATATTGCGTTAAGGGTTAATAAATTATTGTATAGAGTACATAAGGTATAAACCTATAGCCTATTCTCCATGTGTGAAGAATTTCACTTCATTTTTTAATAGCCTCATTAAATAATTCAGACTCATTGTCATCATGACTCTATCACACTTATCGTGAATTTTCCACATTCAATACGAATTCATCAACCCATATTTTGGTACTATGACTGGCAAACCCGAAGCTGCTCAAACTCTACATAATTCATGTCTTTTACTGACCGCTGAATTGGATCAATACTTTTTTATAATTTCTTATAATTTTCACTGCATATTGATTTCGTTGCTTGTAAGATAGTCCACTAATATATGTCAAGGGTAGTAAACAAATATTACACAGTTTTTCTGTATTTTTATTAATTTGTAAGAATATTTTAAATTTTATTTCTATTAGGATTTAGTCAACCTTGATAATATAAAATCTTTTATGTTTCTCGATCTCTACAAAAATAATATTTGAAATGATTTTCTTCTATAACATTTAATTTAAATTAAGTTAACTATTCTTTTTGTTCATATTTTTTTTAAAGTATTTCAACTCCAACCTAAATCTTCTAATGAATACATCAAAGTAAACATCATTGGATCATAAATTTTTTTGAATTTATTTAAATCTGGTTCTAAGGTATTAAAAAAAAGTATGATAATCTTGCGTTTGTAATTTTTCACCATCAGCAGCTTATTTTTTTTATGTAGTGCATTTGCGTCGAGCGAAACAGTAACAGATTATTGCAATGTTTAATTAATATCAGTATTTTTTAATGTTTATTGCATTCATTTAACAGAAGTTAAATGATTTCACAATTTTAGCGGAAATTGTTCGACTCCAGTAGTATATTGCATACTTCGAATATTTAAACTATATGTCACCAAAATAAATAACACAACGGAAATCTTATTAATAAGTCTTGCTTGTATCAGTTTTAGTTAGTTTAAATACTGTTTCATTTTCTTTGTAATATTATATCATTAAAAATATTACCATTTTTCATTTGAAACTTTACTTCTTAATCCGTACATCATTTCGTAAAAGATTCACAGAGATATTATTTTAGTACAGTAGAACGACCTCAATCT